TGTACAGTGGCGTATTCGACTTATTAGTTTTATGGAAGGGGAGGGGGGCGATAATAAAATTATTATGCACAAGCTTGTTATATACTACCCTTTTGATCTTACCAGGAAGTATTTTTATTATTGCGTCATCTGAGTGTCTGCAAGCAACGATTAGCCATTGCTAACGAAATAACCTATTCAGAACAAAGTTCAATTGATAGTGTTGCTTTGTCAACATTAGACATGTCATATTACGGTAAAATCATTACGTATGCATTAAACATTTTCTTTAATAATATAAGTTTAATATTGTACCTATTTTTCCGTTTTTCCGGGTTTTTCCAATACATTGAGAGAAAACTCCAAAGAAAATCAAAAAGTGATCGTCCTGAAGTAACAGGTTACTCAAATTTACTTTCTGAATAAGCGCTACACTTGTAAATTGAAGTAATATAGAAAAGTTGTTCTTAAATAAAAAAAAAATATAAAATAAAATAATCATTGTAAAACCATTAGCTTCTTCACTACACACGGAATCTGAAATGTGACTAAATCTAAGGTATATACATACCAAGTAAATAAAATTGACTTTTAAAAAAGGTGCTACACTAAAACATCGGGGCAAGTTTTCTAGGATAAAAGTGGTCTACAGTATAAAAAAAAATAATGTACCTTTGTAAAAGAATTAAAAAAGGAAAAAAAGTCATCCGATGATTTTGGAAATTTTGCCACGTCTAGGTAAGTCTAATATAACTATAGTTACCAAATTTCAAGACTCTACATGTATTTATAACCGAATTATAGTAAAAAAACTACCAAAAATTAAAATTTTTTAAAAGCTCAAAAATGGCTAAAACTTGTTGGCAATGATACCCCGTAAGAAAGTAAATCAAAAAAGTAGCAAAAATGGTATCTTGTGATTTTTCGATTATTTTTTCTGGTAGAAAACGTCGTCCGTGTTTTTATAAAATAATGAAATCGTGAAATTATACGTTTTCCTACGGTTTTTCCCATTTAAGTGCATTTTATTCGAAAAATGGCGTCAGAAATTAGAAATTGACCTGTTTGAAGTACCTTCTAGACAACTAGAGCTTCCAGAAAAGTTGCTATACGTGAAAATCGAAGAGAGTTTACTTACTTAAAAAACACTTAAAAAACGTGTCCACAGACTAGAACAAAGAAAAAATAAACAACATTGTAAAACCAGTACATTCCTAGCCACGTGCCGAATCTATAAGTATTAGTAATGAAATTTAATTTGTTTAGCCTATATAATTATTTAAATTTAACTATAACCATACAAATTCTGATCTAATTAAATTTTTGCAAATAAAACTTTTTTTAAAAGGAAATGTTATCTTCTAAAAACTCCAAACTGTTCAATAATTGAATCTTGAACGATTCAGAATATATATATAATAATAAACACAAAACATTTTTAAACGTTGTTATTTTGTAAAAAAATTAAATGTATCTACATTTTGTTGTGATAACGAGTTTTTATATGCAATATTTCAAATTCTATAGATTCAAGTGCAACAAATTTCTATGTAAATTTCAAAAAAAAAAAAATCTTTTTTCGTAATTTTAAAGTCACTTGTTGACTTATTATTATTATCAATGTGTTATAACTCAAACACTTCTTCCGAGTTTTTATTACATTCTGGTAAAATCCTTTCTTGAAAATCGTTTTTTTCTGTTCGCGTAATTATAAAAAGTTGTTAAAATAAACTTTTGTTATAAAACGACAGTTAATTTTCCGATGTTGGCCGGTGTGTCCCAGGGAAGCGGCATACCTTCTTTTCTACACTCCGTATTTGCCCACGATACCCCTCAATCTCCGTTGACGAAACAATATCCGCACGATGACTGCGCGTCGAGCGGATAAATCGGAAAACAAAAATTTTGTATAATTTATTTGAGTTATCCAAGCCATTATTTTTACCCGCATGATACCTGATCATACATTAAGCGGTGTTTTGATACTAGTTTACTTGAAGCTGGGTTCAAAATTGAATCGCCGAGCGTCCTCTAACCTTACACACGTCAGTCGTGCCTTGCGCCCGAGGCTCCGTTTAGCTCAGTTTTAAAATGTATCCCTGCGAATTCGGTGATATTCCTAGCAAGTTTACAGAAACGGCACTCTCGTTGCGCATTTACGATGAGAAACGCCCGGCAATTCGTTATTTGCTACGCGCTGGTTGGGCTCTCACCGGCGCAATTTTTAAATTTGTTCAGACCTAAAACTCATACAGGGTATAGTAGTGGTCTGGACAAAGCTATGGACATGCGTTTCAAAAAAAAAAAAAAAAAACCCGGACGTTTCACGGTTTTCCGTGAATATTTTAATCTGAGTAAACTACCGATAGATGCGTCTCGTGAATTTACGACCCGGCAATCATATTTACCCACAAATAAATACGCACACGGTACACCGCATTTAGATACAGTGCGAATATAACTTATGAATCCGTGGTCATAAGCAAATATTTAACGAAAACCGCGTGCCCCAAAGGCGCGACGGGACATCGGTTATATTGTAGGCAATTAACACTCTTTGGATTCTCAGTGGAACGAAGAAGCTCATGTAATAGTTTTACAAAGATGTCTATTTTTTTTTTCTGCCGTCACTCCCATAATTCATTATCTCTGTTCTTGATAATAAATTGTGGATACTCTATGTATCGGTGGCGGTCGATCCGTGGTCCACCATACATAATTTTATTGACCGCGGGGTTTATCGCGCTTCAACAAAATATGTCTATCGCTGTGTCAACAGGTTACGTTTATATTGACCAGGCGAGCGTGGAACATTCGAGAATGTCCGTGCGACGCGGCGACCTTGTGGATTATTGAAAACGTCAATAAATTATGATAGCTTTAAACCTAATCGGTTGATAACATTGAACAATTTACCGATAAGAATAATCAATGTTTAACAGCTAATAACAAATTATGTGTCGGAGAATGTTAGAGGGTTATCGACATCTGTGGAAAACACGAAATTATCGCAGAACGCAAATGTACCGGAACACGTGCGCTTATCGACCGCCGTGAAAAATGTGTAAAAGTAATTAAAAATGCGGCCAACAACTGTTACAGTCTGTTCGTTCACTTTGAATATTGCGGTGCGCTCGCTGTTAATGTACAATTCGTTTTCCGGTTTCGTTTGGTGTGTTGCGTCTACGGGAGAACCGTTTTTCATTCGTTTTCAACGAAAGCCGGTAATATCAATTTTTATGTTACAATATTACAAGTCGTTTGATACGCTTCTGATTTTTAGTTTGAGCGTTAGGAAAAGAATAATAGCGGACGGGTACAAAAGGTATAACGAGGAATGGGAAGGAAGGAACCGAGTTTTTCGTAACACAAAATACAAAATTAAAATCAAATGGAACCGATTGACCCGCAAACTTAAAATCGCAACGAATGCAACAAAATAACAAAAAAAAACACAACGAAAAACCTGTTTGCCGTACATTTTTCCGTTTTTCCTCCGGGTATTTAGGAGAACTGCCGCGGAAAATCGAAAAAACCTCGCGGACACGATTATTCATCCGACGAAATTCGCTTTCGGAAAAGACCGGCGCGCCCGAAAACCGGAGCAAATACATCAGCGGGTAGAACAACCGTGAACTAACACAGACGGAGAGAGGAGAGAGAAAAAAAAAACGTGTTGTGTATTCGTAATACGCGTCGGTGTTTCTCGCCGCGCTCAGAATCGAAAAAAGTGAAAGAGACGAATACAAACACACACGCTGTCCGCGGTAAACTACGCCGGTTTTTTTTTTTTTTTTTTTGATTTATACGATTGTTTCGCAGTTAACGATGTTGTGTTTATTATACAGCAGGTATTACACCAGTGTTATTATAATTTACACTCGTGTTGTACCTACCCATATAAACGGCGATGAGGAAACGTGCGATGGGCGGCCCGGTTTCAGGTGCAGCGCGCACCGAACACATCTCGAAACCGACCTATAAATAATAATATTATTTTAATCGGTTTTTTTTTTTTTTATTTTTTTTTCATCGCGTCTCTTTTTCACCACGGGCCGCGCTTATTATTATAATATACGTCACGTATACACGCTGTTATTGTATAGTGTACAAACACGCGTCATGTACGTTTCTCACCTGTGTATTTATGTATCTCGTGTTTTATTATTATTCAATTTTTTTCCCGTACACATAAATCGCGGCCGGGTAGCCGCCGCGGTGGTATCCGTTACGTTCGAACGCACTATCGTCGCGTATACTCGCGCGTGGACGGTGTTATACGATAACGGAAAAGAGTAAATACGACAAAAAAAAAAAAAAAAAAAAAAAAGGAAAAAGCGCTATCATTGTGAATCGGAGCAAAATTATCGCCCGTAGAAAAGTTGCCCGCGGAAAAAAAAAAAACAAAATAATAAATATCATTGTAAAAACCACGAGGGGTTCTCTTCGGTCCACTAGGAATCTAAAAAAATGTCCGCAAAATCTATTTCAAATTGTTACGTATTATTCGACGGCACCGGCGTTGTAAACTCCATCAACGGAAATTGTTTCGGTTTGCCGAGTTCCGCGTTCGGATTTTACGTTTTTTTTTTCCTCCTGTCTGTACTCAACAAATTTTCTACCAGAAATCTTGGTATCCTCCGATCGACAACAACGACTACGGAGATTTTTTTGGTAGCGCTTTTGGTACTAGTTGAGGCGTCATTGAGGAGGCCTTCCGGAGAAGACCGGAAAACACTGTATCGGAAAAACGGACAAATGTACGGCAATTATAACGGTTTCGTTGTTTTGAATTGGTTCTGTTTATCGCGATTCGGTTAAAAATGAGTCGACAGGTTGGCCCTGTGGCGTAATGCGAACTTTATTGTGAATTCAACAGTAATTGTTGTTTTGTAACATACTGTGTTTAACAATTTTATATTTTGTATAGTTTTCATCGTACATTTTTTTTTCTCATCTCCGCGGCCATATTTTTGTTCCTTTGCCAAAAATAAATGTTTACGCGGAAAACCAGCACGTTCTCAACACGGTTTAATCGCCACGCTCCGTTCCGGTCGTTTGCCGCACGACGCGGTGCTGTTTGATTTAAACTGATCAACAACGGTCGGTTTTGGTTGCCGCACTTTCGGTCGATGCGTTTGAATTCTCTCCGGAGCCAATCGCCGAAATGTCCCGGTCCCGTGCAGCCCCGCGTTACATTGCAGATTACCGAAATCCGCGGCGCGCCGCATAAAATGCGCGAACTCGCAGAGTCCGCGGTCGCGCGGTGCACGGCCGACGGGACGAAAACGGTTTACCGTGCCCGACCCCGTTGCCGGCGGCGTGCGCCGCGGCCCCTTGCCGTCTACGGGCCTTGAATCCCGGCCAAGGCGTTGTTTTGAACGGGGACTGTGGAAACGGGCGGCGAACATTTTTTTTTTTTTGTTTTTGTTTTTCCCCGCCCCGACCAGTGCGCGAATTGTGGCGACCGGCCAGGACGGCGCACGCACGGTCCGCCGATCCGGTCAACCCGTTCGTATGTTCGCCAATCGATATCCGTCGGTACGCGGGGCCACGGACGTCACGTCGCCGCGGTACGCGCGTCACGCATCGGCGGCCCGGCGTCGTCAGACACCGCGGCGACGGTTACGGTGTTTCGCGTCCGCCGTCGACGAAACCGCCAAACTCCCGTCGCAAACGGCGCGGTTCGCGTGCACGTAGCGAACCGCGCGCCGTACGCGCCCGATACGCGCGCCCGTGTAACGCTTACACTTCGCGGTCGACGATTCGTCTCGAATTCGTACCGCGCACGCCCGTCAACCGCCGCGGTTCGGTCACCCCGTTTATCGGGTTGGTCGTTTGTTTTTTTTTTTTTTTCTTGTTTTCTTGTTATTGTCGCGTTCGTTTTGCGCGTTATCGGCGATCGTTCCGGAGTAAAACCAACGCGACGCGCGTCGCGGTCACGCTAATTTTTTTATTTTTTTGTTGAGAGGGGGGAAAATAAAAAAACAAAATGCAATGCCAACCGTTTTCTGACTGGCCCGATCCGGCGCGAACACCGCGAGCGCGTATTAACAATATTAATGGGCGCCAATACCGTGTCGCGCGTAACATTCGTCCGGAATTTATTTTCGATTTACCGCTTTTAAACGAATTAAACGGCGCGGAAAAAAAAATGAATAAATAAATAAATACCCGGTCATATTGTGTTTTGGTAGGTACGCGATCGGTTTTTTTTTTTTTTTTTATCATCGGTATTATTCTCTATTGGATTTTACGTTATTGGCTTCTGCGAGTCGCGTTAAATACGTAATGAATGGTTTTCAAGGTTATTATTATTATTTTTTTTTTTTTTTTTACGAGGCATTAATTTTTAACACTGTAACAACAATAACCGAACGCGGGTATCAACCGGACGTTTACGATATAGTGATTATGACACCAGCTGATTTTTATAATATTATTATTAATATTATTATATCCAGTAAATTGCTTTTTTTTTTTTATCTTTTTTATAATACAGACAATGTACAACGACGAAAAAAAAACCGTTTAATATTAACATCTGCCTTGTGTTGCATGACCGCAATATTGGAAACTATAATAGGTATAATATGTTTTTGTACGAAAAAGAAAAAAACCATATAATATTATTTTCAATGTATTGAATATTATGTTTATCATTTTTTATAACACGATAAAGATAAGAGCGCCGATACTGAAGTGCGTTAATATTTAGAATATTCATTATAATATAATATAGGCTCTTAGGCTCTGTGGTAGGGCGGAAAACACCCGTGAGCGGCAGAGCTCCGTCACAATATATAGTGTCGAATTTCTCCCGCTTATTTTGTATTAGACAAATATTTCTTTGTAAGAAAATAATTAATAATCAAATACTATTAAAAAGAAAACTAGTTTATTAAAAAAAAAAAAAAAAAAAAGTTTTGGAATTATACCAAACAAATATCAAATATCACATCCTTCTTAATGTGGGTACTAACGTTACGAATATGGCACACCGTTTCATTCACTATCTGGATTCATTTTGAGGGTCTGTAAGATAAAATGGCGAAATCAATATTGATATTCCGCCCTGCTTTCCGATATTAAAAGATCAATTCGAATTCCCGAGTTTGAGCTCATTTGGTTCAGGTGCGGCCGATAGAAGTGTACAAAAGAAACGAGAAAAATACTGTAGTCCGTTTCATTTTTCGACGGAAAATTCGATTTCGAGTTTAACGGATCAACGCAAGTAACTGCAAATCGAATAATAATCAGTGGCGGCGTGAACATGGTTAAATTGGCACAGCTGCGTCACGAAAAAAAAAGGTGGGTGAGTGTTGAATGTTGATGTTTATGGTTGAGTAGATGCGAGATACTTATTCATGTTACTTATATTGTACTTTACTTTTTATATTTTGTGTTGGTATAAAAATGTGGGTGGGTGGGTGTTGTTGACAAATTTTAATGCGTCATTGAAATAATAAGTTCACGTCGCCGCTGGAAAAATAATAATAAAATTATGTTAATTATTACGATTTTAGGTTCTCAATGTAGCGAAGAAGTTATAATATAGTTTACGAATGTGTGTGTGTGTGTCACTTGTTTATTTAATTTTTTTACTTTTAGGTATAAAATTAGCAACAAGAGCAAAAATACGACTATTCCACTATTTTTCTAATCGATTTTTGACTGCTTGCAATGATTTGTTGTTATACACGCACAGTTCCGACGTACACCGATCTGTCTAATGAAGCGATAAGAATTCCAAAAACAGATATGAATTCGTTGTCAAGTATGCTTGAAATCGACTTTCTCCCGTTTTCGATTTTATCCACCTTGATTTCTAAAATAGAAGTAATTAACAAAAAAAAAAAAAAAAGGACGGACATACTTTGCACGTGGTTGCAGCCACTGTTATAGGTGGGAAGTTGGGAAGGTAGGATATAGAGGAGAAATTTATTTGTATCTGTAAAAACGTAAAATCGTTGCTAACGATAAAACGATTCTGAGCGTAGTTCAGTCGATAGTGTTGCTTTGTCAACAATATATATATATATGTCAGATTATGGTAAAATTACAACAATGTGCGTTTCCATGGCAACAATGATTATTTAAAAAATATTAAACTAATAAAAACTTAATAATAACAAAAAATAAATACAAATGGTTGCCAATGACAACTTTATTTTAAATCTTTCAATCTTTTAAAACCTGAAGAACCGGGTGTTCTTCATTATCTCGAATATTAATGAGAATTTCAAAAAAAACAACCTCTATAAAGCACCATCTAAAAAAACATTTTCTTTCGAAAGACGTGCTATACTTGATAATCGGAGTCAACTTTCTGGTAGAAAAAGTGTTCGCATAAAAAAATATAAAAAAAAAAAAATAATAAAAAAAAAATTACCAAACATCTTTGTAAAACCAATACATTCTTCGCTAAACTCCGAATCCAAAAAAAAAAATGTGAAATTCTATCCCGAAAATCGTAGACTTGACGACAAATAATTCGGATCCGTTTTCGGGGTCCGTGTCGCTTCGCTAGACCGAACAGTCAGGTTAGGAAACAATAAAACTCGTCTGAATTCCCGTGTCGCGCGCGCGCGTTTAAGACAAAGGCGCGGAAAATCGCCGCTTCCCCTTGATAACAAAATTAATCTATTATCGCGCACCGACGTGACGTATAATTAAGTCGTAAACGGCATAATACGATATTATTATTTTACGCTATAAATCCAGACGGACGCGTGTAACGTTATATTCGCCCGCTACCTGCAAGCTGCGGCCATATTATACGCGAACAAACACACACAAACACACGACTAATGTATGACATCGGCGCTAATTATTACCTGTTTTGCATGTCCGGATGAAATATACGAACGAACGAACGAACGAACGAAAAAAAAAAAGTGTATATTATTATTATTATTATTATTGTAGGTATGTGTTTATAATGTATTTATGTCCATTTTGCGGTACGCGCGCGCATTGGGTACTTGATTTATCGAGTTCATTAAAAAAAAAATAATAATAATAATAATAATAAATAAATAAATAACACCGTGTTTACCATATTATTAAAATTGCGTTTATACATATTATAATATATGGCGTACACTCGCCGATTAAAACACATTCGATTATATTATATTATATACGCGGTCAGGTTCACTAACGGTGTACGGTGTGAAATCGTTTCGTACGTCGGGTTCGAAACATCTGTGGCAAACCATTCAGTTTTCAAAATACTCGCCGAAAACCATGAAAGTACATTCAAAGAAATGCATATTTCGGAGCACCTGAAAATATTCTCTCAAGTAGGCCCGGCTAGTAGACGATCGAGTGCATACGAGAGGACTTGCTGTACAACACACTTTTGATCCGAGAATTAACAACGCAACCGTATCTCGAAAATGCCTCTACTTAATTTTGTCGCTGACGATTATACCGAATTAGTAGACTGGAAGAAATGTGAAATAACTGAGCCGAAAATGTTATCGATGATTGAAAATGAAGCATTGAAACGAGCAATATATTATTATTTTACTAAGTCTTTTGTTCAATTTAAATACGAATTTGTCGTTTCTTCCAGATTTTTATGTCCGAACAACGTTACTGAGTGCATCGATATATTTCCATGTCACACTCAATATGCTGAAAGAGCTGTTTAGTTAGTAACCGATTCATCTACGGTCGTTTGTCGTGAATCTTCTACAGATGGATTTACACGAGCTAGAATTGAGTCGCGGACTATAATGATGTCACCATTTAATACGAAAAAAGATTTAAAATTATAAAATCATACAATGTAACAAATTCTATTGACGTTTGTTCGTATAGCTGAATAATATTTTGGTGAACAAAAACATTTTTAAGTGTAAAATAAAAAAAAATAATAATAACTAAATACTATGAATTTATGCGTATTATTAATAAGCACACGGTGGCGCCTCAAAAAGGTATAATCATATAACCTCCAAAATGTGTGTACTTTTTAATACTCTTGAAATATAAAAACAAATTACTATTAGAATGCAAGATATATCTTGTTAAACACATAATAGTTATAAAGACCTTCTAGTCATTTAAATAATAAAGTCCCTGGGCAAAAGTAAAATAATAATAAATAGACGTAGTATTACTTTAAATAAATTTTGGCGTCGACTTTTTTTGATTTTCGTCAATCCGTTGTGGATGAGTAGTATAGTAAAACGAGAGAGTAAACCATCGGACGTTGGGCAGCAACACCCTAAATAGATGTAGATACATCCTTAATGCTGTGTCTACATAAGGAAACAGTTCTTGAAGTTTTCAGTTCTGATCATTTTACAAATATCTATTATAGGTCTTATGTTTTCAGTTAAACTCATTAAATAACTTCTGAATTGTATACATTCGTTAGCAGATGAAGATGAAAGATCATTTTCATATATGTTTTAAAGTATTTCTGCTTTTTTGTAAACTTCTGATGGTGATAGTTTTATTATTTGAAATAAAAAGTTAAATTTTTTATTGGCTTCATCATAGTACAATTTTCTTCTTTCTAGTTCAGAGTGTAGTTTGTTAATAATAGCATAATAAATATTAACCCTTAAAGAATCTCGAATTTCAAAATTTATTTCTCCTTTCTTTTTTCATCTACAGTTAATTTTCTTTTCCTTTTGCGTATTTTTCGATATGTTTTGCGTCCCAATTTATTAATTGCTCTCTCTTCAGAGATATCAAACATATTCCTTAAGTCTAATACATAACGAATTAACGATTTGTATAAACTTACAACTGTTTCTAAATAAATCTCAACTGACTGCAATTGTTTACAGCTAAATAAACATACTTTTTAGGCTGTTTATCTATAAAGCTCAATTATGTTTGTAATTTAACAGTTTTTGAAATTATTTTGACGCGAGCTTCGTTTATTGCGTGATACCGTTTTCGGTTTTCTACGCCACTAAGCTTTTTACTATAAACCATCGCCGTTTTTAAAATAAGAATCCAACAAGGCAGCAATGTAGCATTATAAGTTCATAGCATTAACGAACTTAACAAAAATAAAATGGGAAATAAGCATAGTATTTAAGAATAAAAGCTCCATAAGCTCAATAAGCAGAATACAAATTACATTTGATAATAATAATGTTAATATTAAAACTGAAAATAATTCAAAAGACTGAATACTGTAATACGAGGCGTTAGACATACGACATACTAACGAGTAAAATACATAGGCCAACAATAACAAAAACTAAAAACAATCTTCACAGTTCACAATATAATGTGTACTCGTTTAGTCCTATATAAAAGATACGTTTTTAATGTTTGTATATAATAGTTGTATGGTTTTGTGAAAAAAATAAAACTACGCGCAACGGTCGTAGGCGAATGTTTATGCATGTGAGAAGGCATGACACGACCCATGGATGAGTGAGAAAGAGAGATAATTGTAAGCAGTAGGTCTATGTGTAGGTCTGTGATTTGGACATGATAATTTATTAATATAAACATTTTTGTGATAATGATGTAAAATAACTATTTTACGATTTTCTAAGATTATACCATTCTGACGCCTGGCGCCTTCTTAAAATTTGGTGTCCGGGGCCCAAGTCCCCTCTGACCCCTCCCCTAAATACGTTTCTACGATAGATTATTCTGAAGAGGGTCGTGAGCGAAAAATTGAACGGAATAACGAGATGAAAACCACGACGGAGCTGCAATGATATGGAGATCAATAATATCCAGATATGGATAGCGTTCGAACATTAGTGACGGGGTTTACTCAATCCCGATAGACAGACTGGAGCAGAGCGTATGATAGAGAAAGTTTTTGGAAAAAAACGGTCTTCTAAAAAAAAGAAATGTCAGCACGCAAACTACCGTACATGCAGGTTAAAAATACGCGTGTGATGACCGAAAAAAACAGATTCAGTAAAATTATAATTCGCTACGTTCAAAATCCAATGTATGTGGATACGGAATTCGTACAACTTTGAATTTTTTTTTATTTATCTGGCGTTAAAACAACACACCGGCAGTTTATTAAATTGTGTGTACCTATCTGAATTACCGTTGATTTCAGAATAACGTGTCATAAAATCAATGCTATTGCACACGGCTAACAATAAAATATCGTGAATTCGCGAATAAAACCGTGCCGATCTATCATTGGCTCCCAGCTGCGTTATTATTACTTTGGTTTTTTTTCCCTTCTTTTTGCATTTAAGGGTTGTTTTGTAACACGATACAAACGGATGTATAGGTGTGTGTATATAAAGGGGTTGCCCCGGGGTTACCTTGGTAACAGAAATACGGTTTGTTCTTGCGTTCGGGATCGATGATACCGACAAAATAATAATAATAACAAAAAAAAAAGGTAGGTGGGTAGGTAGGTACAATCATAATAATATTCGTCGTTAACAACTATCCAGTTGAATGAACCTAATTAAAAACTAACATTTTTTTTTTTTTTTTTTTTTTTTGTTATTATATTATTAAAAGATGATGTTCATCGACGTATCGCAACAGAGCGCAGGGAACAATATACAATTAAAATGCCCGGTGTTGGGTGGTATTGATAAAAGGTCTTTGTCCGTCCACCTGCTTCTAAAACTAAATTTCCGAAATATTATTAACTATCGCAGTATATTAATGTAATATTAAAATGAAATTATACCGCGCCAAAAGACAGATTACCATTTATTTCAATAGGTGCCGTTTAAAAAAAAGAAACGCATTTTAAAAGCCTTTTATTTTACAAATGCGTGATCCACCGTTTTACATGCAGATTCATCACTTTCCAACAATCCAAAATTTCAGACTGAACATTGAATGTAAAATCGATTATAATAAGTAGGCTTTATGTATTTAAAATCCACAGAAAACAGCTGAAGAACGTTAAAAGTACTCTAGGAAAAAATATAGAATGCAAAATTAACAGAGGGTCCAGAGAGGTTTAAAATTTCCCTACCCCTAACCACCTAACCATTAAATGCAACTATCTAATACATGTAATTTTTTGTTTTAAAACATATACTACCATTTTTTTTTTTTTTTTTTAAAGTGTATTTTCAAGCCTTTTTTGACGTTTGTTTTTATCGTTTTTTCGTGGACGTACAAAGTCCCGAAATTACGAAATTACGTAAAAAAACGTTCAAATCGCACAAAATGTGCAGTGACCATTTTCTGTTACCGTGAACTGAACAAAAGAGCCACTAAAAATGAAAATCTAAGACAATAAGCGGCTTCAAGACCAAGAGTTGAGGGCCTCGTGCGGACAGAAGCCGTCGGGAATTCGATAGCATTTTTTAGCACCATCCAGATAGTATTGAACAATATCGATTGACCGGTTATTCGAATTATCAATCGGGAATTACTGGTTTTTCGTATTATTAGACAGTTCGATGACCGGAAAAACGGAAAACCGACAAAATTCGCATTTCGATATTCCCCCTTGTCTCGTTCCTAACTGTATTGAGTAATACGCAATTCCGCAAGAGTGTAATTATTATTTAAATTTTATCTACCGGAACGCGCAATTTATCGGAATCTGGTTCTTAATAATTGTAATAAAAAATTTCGGTCGCAGAAACATTATCGTGATTAAGTTATGATTAAATGTGATAAAAATAAAAATTTAAATCACGCTTTACATGATCGTAAATCTATTATAAGTACGCAGTTCGATGAGGCTAATACCTATACGTAACTAATTATAAATTACTGTTGTTTTTTTAATAAATACGAATAAAATATTCCTGTTAGTATATTTATTTATTTGCTGAGATATTCTAAAATATCGTTGGTATAAATTATTATTATTGGTGGTGAGTATCGGCCGATATCGAGGATATCGTGTTTTTTTTCTTTTTTCCAAAACTGATATTCGACCCGATAGTTTTTATGGAATAAATGTGCATTATAATGGCTCTGGAATAAAGTGTTAACAAATTGGATTTTCAATCGATATATTGATTGATTTCAATATCAGTTCATGGTTTTCGTTTGCAATTCAAAAGTATTTGAGTATTAAAAATCTGAAAAAAGTCACCAATAAATATGTCACCATCGTCGTCCGTATTAATGATATTAATATGAGTAAACGTGTATAAATGTTTACTTTCGAAGGTAAATAATTGCAGAATAGGTACATAATATAATATTCGCGGGTTTCCGGTGATAATTTTGTTACAAAAACCGATATTTACACAGGTTTATCACGAAACAAATCGGATAATATCATAAAGTTATTAATTTTACGTTAAATTTGCAATTGTGTGGTTATATATAGAAGAATATACGTAAACTGCACGGAGGTTTATGACAGGGGTGCACTATGCACTTGATGCAAATTATTAACTCGATTAAACAAATTTAAATAACTAAAAAAGCTGTCCTAAGTTAATGGAGAAGGGTGCAGCTACTATTTGTAGGCGGGAATTGGAGAAGGTACGATACAGACGGGAATTTAACGTATATCGCTGTGCGCAACGATTAACCATTGCTAACGAAAAATGATTCTGAGAAGGATTTTGTTAATAGTGTTGCTTTGTCAACAATATATATATATAATATTATGGCAAAATATACATGCATTGCACATTTTCTTTAATGTTTTTATTTTAATACCGTACCTATTCTATCGTTATTCCCATTTATCAGGAAAACTCCTGGGAGACTC